CGTTCTCTGGCGCGCCTTCACCTCCGCATGCCCCACGATGCGCGTCTGCGCTTGTGCAACCCGTTCGAACAGCTCCAAGTCCGCTTGACTCACCAAATGATGCTGCTCCTCGTCGCCTTACCACCGCGATGCTACACCAATGTTCACTAATTTCTTCAACGGCATACGAGCCGCTGCCGGAAGCTCTTTCGGAAGCACGAACGAAGACGTACGCGCGCCTTTCCTTGTAGGCTGTACGGCGGTCTCGAATAGTCCAGCTGCTACACTCTACCTTCAACCTATGCCATCCGCGCCTCAAGCTAATGCCATGTCGCTACAGACAAACGATGCCGTCGCCGAATCGCCGTCGGGTACTAACTTGCCTCCAAATCCCTACTCTAGGGACTCACCACCCGCCCCAGAAACCTCGCGCGTTGTCGTAGACCTCTCCTCACCCACGAGCCGTCCAAGTCGACCCACCCACAAAGAGTCACATCTGGAGAAGCATCGTTCGCGGTTGCAGAAGTCGGAAAAGAGCGAGGACGAGAAGCGCTTAGTTGGAGATTACACGTAATTCTCCTTTACATATGAGGAGCAGAAGAAGAGGCTGACTTGTGCGAAGCAAACCAGCCGATGCGGTCGATCTCCCGGATCCAAGGTCATATTTGCCGCTAACGAAACGCACCATGACTTCAAAGGTATATCACTAGCAACTCGTCCTTGGTATTTCATGCTGATGCTCTTTAGCCTGGCTCAAATAGCGGTTTTAGACCTTTAGATACTATGAACACTGGACCCAACGTACCGAGCCGAAAGCCAACAACATATGGAAAGAAAGACCGCCCACCTCCACCATTGATAGGCCAGGTGCATGGCGCGGGACAGCTTGCGTACCTTCAGCATAAAGAAGAAAGAGTATCGGCTACACCATCTCGTCGCTTGTCTTCACGAGATGGCCATGAATCGCTATCGGGTGGAGCTACACCGGGAAAACGACGAAAGATCAACCATGTCATAACACTAGATGACGATGATGACGATGAGGTATTGGAGGTATCTCATCCCGTACATACCACAAATTTGGGCACGTTAGAGGACCAGAGGCGTCCAGTCAGATCTGAGCAATCACGGATGAGCATTGGAAGTGGAAGCACTATCAGCGACTTTAGGCCGCTCCAATCGAAAAGCGAATTCCGAGAAGTCGACAGTTTTCTTAAATCTTCTCAGAGGAAGCCAAGGAACTTGAGTTCTAATACACCTAAAGGTGACTTGCGACACTCCCCTTTCGGTGGTGGTGCTCTGTCAAATAGCCCTGGCGCGCGTGCTAATCGGCAGGTTATCTTGCAAGATTTTCAACAGGGCGAGACGAAACAAAGCCCCACGAGATGTGGTAGCTCTGAGCATAAACTTGGCCCAGTCACATCTCGTTTCTTTCCTAACGCTCGTATCAATGAATCAACGTCAGAACAGATGGAGCAGCAGCCTGCAAACGTCGAGAGCGCATACCTTCGCACACAGCATAGATCGGCACCAAAGCGAGCCAAATCAACTACCGATAGCTATAGCGCAGATGAGCTTGCCATTACTCCCCCAAAGCCAGGATCGAAATCGCCTTGCAAGCAAAAGCAAAAGCAAACCGCAAACAGTAGAGTCAAAACAGACGCTAGCGGAAATGTCATAGAAGAGTCGTGGCCACTACTGTTTGCAAGGTCGTCCGACTTTGAGGGTAAGGGATCAACATCTGAGGACGGCCATGCTACATTGGTCTTGAAGAGCAACAAGGACGAAGGCCTACGTGTGCAAACATGGGAGCCGGTCGACGGCTGCTATGAAACGTACATCGTCATACTATCCAAGGACATCAACAAGGTGCTTGCAGATGATACCAGCCGCGTCCGATTACAGGGGCCTCGGAGACACGACGGGAACTCTGGCATCTTTGACCTGGAGTTTGCTGGTACTCCTGGTTTTTCCCACTTCCTTAATGACTATGCACGTTCAATGACACTGACTGGGACGTACTTGGTAAAGACAGAGTAAGTCATTCCAGGCTGCCCCAAGAGCTTTGTTGACGAGGGCGCAGTGATTATATGGTCGAACTATTCAAAAGACCTCTGCAGCCGAAGAATGACAAGATTGGCACGTCCGCGATGGTAGAAGACCCTACGGAGCAATCGAAAACGCTCAATCGAAAAGGCAATGACACGTCAAACACACCGTTATTGGATCAACTGAAGCGCGTTGCAGACGGAACTGCAGCTAGTGCTACGTCCGATGTGAGTACCGCAAGGATGGGATCGACTCGAACATCACGCGCAAGAAGATTAGCCCCTATTCACTATGTCGATGATGTGCCTACACGTTCGGACGTACCCAAATATTCGGTCGAGACAGGACTTGGGCAACCGTGGACTAGGTAAGCTTATAACTGCCAGCACAGCATTGTACTAATCAATTCAAAGATCTCTCGAATTTGGTGAAGGTCGCCAGCGTGCGATAGTACACTTCGATGATCTGCCCCGTCTGGACGAAGAGGAATACATGAATGACAGTTTGATCGACTTCTACATGATGTAGGTAGTGACTAGCTTTTGCTATATCTATATTACTAACTCACCTAGCTACCTCTTCAAGCAGCTCAACGTCCCTGCTGATAAAGTTTATTTCTTCAATACCTACTTTTTTACCAAGCTGACGGAGAACTCGGGTCGAAAATCGATCGATTACAAGGCTGTTGAAAGGTGGACGTCTAAGACCGATATCTTTAGCTACGATTACATTGTTGTGCCTATCAATGAAAACCAGTAAGTCAGGATGTGGTGAGTTCCGTAATATGTGTTAATTATTGTTAGATCACATTGGTACCTGGCAATCATCTGTAACGTGTCGAAAATTGAGCGCAAGCCGATAGTCCAAGATTTCGATGCATCTCAGGCAAATGAACCACAGGAATCGAACGTCTCAACGTCAACCACCAAACCTGAAGCGGTTACGACTCGGAAAATAGCATTGTCTCCGGACCCACCTGTTGTCATTCCGGAAACGCAAGCTGAGCCGAGCGACGAGGAGCCAAACCTTTTTGATGAGGCGGTGCTATCCCTCGTCGATCGCGAAGATACTGGACTCGAAGCGTCTGATACATTCGAGGTTACCCAAACAGGGTTAGCACGTCAAGATCCAGGAGCTGGGCCTTCGACTGTGCGGCCAGTCGATGCAGTTGCAAAAGATGCTCACCAAGGAATATTGTCGCATCTACAGTTGGCTACGCCACCCACAAAGGCCAAGGTCAAACGCAAATCCGTACCCAAAAGAGATCCCGATCAGCCTGTCGTCATAGTCCTGGACTCCCTCACTGGAAATGCTAGATCCGGAGCAGTCCGCGCCCTCAAAGACTGGATAATAGCAGAGGGTGATCACAAGCGTGGAATGAAAGCCGTCATCAAGGAAAATGGCTATTATCCAAAGGATACGCAGATTCCAATGCAGGACAACTGGACTGACTGCGGTGTCTATCTCCTTGGCTATGTTGAGAAATTCTTCCAAAATCCCGATGATTTCAAGAACAAGCTGCTGACGGGATCGATGTCAGCTCGGGAAGATTGGCCAGAGCTTAAGCCATCCGAGATGCGGCATAAGATGCGTCAAATTATATTTGATTGTTACAAAAAGCAGGAGGAAGATAGGAAAGCACAGAAGAAAGCCAAGAAGGGTTCTGCAACTTCGAAAAAGTCACCAGCTCCGACGATACAAGAATCGGGGGATCAGAGCCGACCCAACCATGAAGAATCACAGAAAGAAGAGCCAAAGCTTGAACAATCACCTCACAACAGGAATGTGCAGCCTGCATCGTTAGAGGTCCACTCGCCCGTCCGTCTTCCACCTAGACTTGGGTCACCGTTTAGCCTCGACACAAAGCGGACGGCTTCCACTCCACAGTCCCCACAGACAATTATCAGCAAGGTTTCTGACTCACCGCCAATTTCCACGTCTCCTGCGAAGCCAACTATGATCACTTCACGTCCAGAAGAAACACCGAAGCGCCACCCTGAAGTGCGTATTCCTAGCAGAACCCCGAAATCGCATGGGTCCATGCACAACGGTCAGACTACTTCAAACGGATCACCGCGTCCAGTCAAAGTACTGCATCAGACTGGCGGTGCACTCGATACATCGAACCCCAAAAAACGTCGGAGACAGGTTGACGACAAGAATCAAGTCGAATCGCCGACTGCGAAGCGGCAGTTCACTAGGTCGCCCTGGCGAGCTCGCGATGGGGATGCGACAAGCGAGCGATCAACTCCACGCAGCCGGGAAGGTAGTGTTCCCCATGCGCCAATTCAAATCGACGACTCCCAAGAGGTCGAGGTCGTAAGCGCTACCCATCGCCAGCATGTACAAGCAACCTCGATTGCTCAGCGCAAACTCTCATCGCATCATCCACGCTCGAAACAGACGCTTCACCCGTCACCGTCCTTGGAAGAAATTTCGCGTTCGTCGTTCAACAGCGAACATCCGAAACATGGTCAACGCGAAGGACGTCCTGTTGATAGTGCGCTCAGAACACGGATGGACGAAGACGGCCATCCCAGAAAGAAGGCCCAGCGTTCAACGGCTCCTGCTCCTGGCGAAGGGAATGATCCGTTGGAACGCAGAGACGAAGAGGGATCTGACTCAATAGAACGAATCTCACAGTCGACCAATCAGTTGCAACTTGACGGAATCAACGACGGATCCGTTGTAAGAGAAACCCCGGAGCCTGATGAAAAGGGTCCGGTTGCGCAGAATGGAGGGTCGAGACAAGATCCTCTCCTTCTTTAGTCTTTCTTCTTTTTTGGGACAAAGCATGTCTTGCATATATCTTGCGATGGTGATTGCGAATTTTTATTCGGAAAATACAGACCCATCTTGGAATGGTGAAGGCGTTATATATCAAGGATTAGCGAAGGACAGCATGTCGCGAGTTAGGTGCAACTGTGGCAGCGCGCCCGATATCACAGCACAACTAGGTTATCGTGCAATATTTATACAGCACTTTCGAGAATCTTATCTTCTTTACCTTGTTCGGTCAACTGTCGTGATATGGATCCATTGGCGCCACGTCCGCCTGTAGGGTCATCAAGCGCTGCGACAGCATCGTCGACTTCTGCAAGCAGTCAGCATTGCCGGCATACCCTCCCTCTGCCGGGAGAGATACCATTGATAGAAGGCCTACCCTGGAATCCCTCATCCGTCTCGGCTGCTTCTCTGCCCACCCACCGCTTCATTTTGTCTCTAACAAACTCTGCAAAGTCCCATTCTTCTGGTTCGAGCCTTTGTGCGCCTGCTATCCAGACATAGGTTTCTGCCTCGGCTTCTTCGCCCTCTACGTTGTCTTCTTCCCTTTGTGATAGGTCACCCATGCCTTCTTCCGTGTTGCTGCCTTGGCCCCTGGGTTGCAGGATCTTGACTTTTACCTTCTGACGTTGATATTCTGAGCCTTCGAAGATGTCTAGTCGCCAGATGTCGCCGTCTGTGAGGCCTTGTACTAGGGTTCCGCGGACAGACGAGGGGGAATCCACAGGGAGGATGGCAGGATAGTCGGCTTGTTTTACTTTGTGGCGTCGGTGCATGTGAAGGATGGCTGGGCGTATGTGAAGGAGAGAGGCGTGGGCGGGTGTGGGCGGTGTTTGCGAACCCCATATTACGCGGTGTAGGACGGGCGGTGCCATCAAGGTCCCGTAGAAGAATGCTGTATGTGACATTTTGGTGGTTTGGCGGTCGATAGGAGTATGCAAAGGCTGAGGTTTAGAATACTGGTGGTGGTAGAGGTTTATAGCGTCCATAGACGATCAATTGTACGATTAGATGAAAGAAAGATGGGTGAAAGCACCCCATGTAAACAGCGATGACGCAGACGCGATAAAGCTTATCGGTCAGCCCTACCCTACAGCCCCCAGCGGCCACTAAATTAGCGGAGATTGCGGAACTCTCCTTTTTGTCCGCTGTTGTTGTTTTTGTCCCAGCCTCACCACCTGACCAATTGCGCCAAACGGTCTCGAGGTCGCGTGTGCGTTGAACCCATAGCCGTCGGTCACTCAAGCGTTGTAAAAGGAGTATCTAGGGGACCTCGAAGGATTCCGACAGCTCCACCGGCGTTCCGAAGTGTACCGCCTGGCCAAGCACCCGACCATCGCCATGTTCTTCATCAGCACCATTGTGAAGAACATTGCGCCCGTATTGTATGCACCCACCATCCGCCAGCGCTCTCCTGCTTCTAACGCACCCCTCGCAGCATAGCAACAAGTCCAATCACCAGCTATGGCGACCAAATCTACAGCATGCACCGAGCCCGCAGCTCTGCCGGCTTCTCCCTCGACATCCCGCTCATCATGCTCGTCGCCAGCATCCTGAAAGTCTACTACTGGTTCGGCGCCCACTTCAGCACCTCGCTGCTCGTCCAGGCTCTCCTCATGATATGCGTCCACCTGCTCCTCCTCCATGTCGCGCTTACGAACCGATCGCCGCCCTCGCACCTCCCCTTCCAACATAAAGATGTGTCGAACCGCCCATACGACTTCTGGCAATGGAGGGCGCCGAGACCCTATTGGACATTCATCACCTACTTTACCGGCGTGTTGCTGGTGCTGCACTTGGTCATGTCGTCGACAAGCATTTTCGTCCCGTACACGGATCTGCTGGGTATGGTTGCGTTGACTATTGAGGCTACGCTCCCGCTCCCGCAACTCTGGGCTAATTACCAGAGACGCGGGTGCAAAGGCTTCAGACCCAGCGTTATTGTCAACTGGGTTATTGGTGATACGTTCAAGATGTGGTTCTTCTTTGCTAGTAGCAATGGTGAAGTACCTTGGGCTTTCAAGGCATGTGGTATCTTCCAGGCATGCTGTGATCTGGGCCTCGCAGCGCAGTATTTGATTTGGGGTGACGGGCCTGTAGGTGTCGAGGGATTGGGAAGAGAGAAAGAGGTTCGAAGCCCAATCCCCCCTGAGGATGGATGGAATGCTGAGAAGCTGGGACAGGCAGGTGTGACAGGAGGTATTGAGATGAGCGATGGACAGGCTTGGGAGAGACCGAGGGCTGCGTAGGCTCCGATGAAGATAGATGAAGCTGCCATGTAAGACTTGCTTATATACAGATATCAGGTATGTCGAAATAATATATCATCGCGCATATCCAGATAACGCGACTGCTTGAGGACTGCCTGAGCATCACGAGGCGGATCCACGCAAATACCACATCAACCGCCACATGATCTCTTCACTTGACCCAATGCAGTGTATACAGTTCATACTACATAGTTCGTTCTCAGAGTACGCCTCATCTCTTCTTATCACCTGCTGTGGACAAAATTCAGATAAACAAGGTATGGCTCGAAAATCTGAAGATCCCAAAGATTCGAAGGACGACCTGAGCATAGTAGCCAACGACGCGCGTAAGAGTGCAGCACTACAACGGAGAGCTGTATGGAAGGGGGAAGATGCCGAGAGAGCGGAGCAGGAGAAGCGAGACGCTGCGGAGAAGGCTGCGTCGGATCAACGAATGAAGAAACATGAGGATGCTGCCATAGCAAGAGCAAAGGTTGAGGAGAAAGAGCACGGAGAACAACAAGCAAAGCAAAGAGAGGATGTCTTTTTAGCGGAGGAGGGCGATCCTGGTTAGCCGGAAAATAGGATAAGGAAATGATACGCCAAGGTATACTTCCTTCACCTCTAAGCATTCAAAGAATAGGAAGCACAATCTCGCTTGTGTATTGGTCGGATTGGTACATCCGCAGCAAGCAACCTCTCCAGAAGCGCAATGAGCAACGAAACAACTTGCACGATTGCTGAAGCACCTGTCAGCTGCACTTGCGCGCAAATAGAGCACCCTAATGCCTTTGGTATAGCATTGTGCCATAAATTCGTGACTGCAGCCTGCCAACAAACTCAATTGCCCAAATCACACTTCCAGTACGCATTCTTCATACAGAGTTCGCGCTACAGGATCACGGCACAAACTTGACAAACAACTATCACGGATAAGTACTATCGCTATTCTAAGCGCAAACATTTGCCAATGCAGCCTCCCGATGACATAGCTTCTGTTCCACCTAATCAGTGATAACAACTCCAATCAGATATATCAAACACCTCCCATCCCACTGGCATACCAGCTTTCAGACTGAGCATCCACTCCCTTCTTTCGAGCACCAGAGTAATACCCTGTCTTATCCATCACGGTGATCTTGAGCGACCTTCACCACAAAAATGTTCGGTCCATCGTCCCCAACCTCTCGTCACTTAAGGCGCCGCCAGCAGAACTACTCCTGGGACCATGGCTACCTATACCAATCCGAACTCACGCCTGTCCCTTCTTACGAAGACCTCTCCATCCCCACTGCCATGCACTCCCCAGTCGACCTCCCCTCCAGGGTTAGTGCTCTGAACCGCCGCGCGGCTATTGTCTCTGCAAATCTATCCCATCTTACCACCGTCGTCAAACCACTTGAGACGATTAAACCCGATGACCTGAGCGAAAGCCACCTTACTGACATATGGGAGGAAGGTGTGTGCTTGGGCAAAGCGATGGAGGACTTCAAAGAGCAAGTAAGTTGTCTCGCTTTGGAATGAATGTAAGATGTACACTGACTCCATTGCTTCACATTTGCAGATGGAGGAGGTGAGCTTGATACTGGAAGAGTTGCTGATTGGTCGAAAGAAGGCCATGAAGGTCTTGGGCGGGGTTGGCATGGGTCTAGAGAGTAGTAGAAGTATGTCGAAGGGCTTCAGCAGAAGAAGGGGGTTGGGATTCTGAGTAAGGAGGGTAGAAAAGATGAAGATGTGGTCACCTCTTTGTTCACAATGGCGTTATATTTACTAAGGCAACGTATCATTGAATTGCATCTAGCGTACGGGCTTCATTTTGGCAATCACTGCTAGGCGATCCATACTTACGCAGGAATCGTCTCTGGGGGCACACTTTCCAGTGTAGGCACAACAGGCTTGATCAAGCCCTGGTCGTCAAAGTACACTCTATCAATGGTGGTTTCCCTGTTCGTTCCGTTGCCGTTTGGTATAGCGAACCGATGGTACGCCATGTACCAGTCATCAGTGTTCGGTACGTTGATGATGGAACTATGCCCAGTGGCGAGAATACCAAGCGACGGATTCTTCTGGAGTATGATACCGTGGTATGTCCATGGTCCATGAACACTTGTAGATGTCGCGTATCCCACTCGGTAGTTCTCTGAACCAGTATCATCGATGGAGTAAGTAAGATGGAAGAGGCCTTTGCGGTAGTTCATGAAGATGCCCTCGCGAAACTCGGGAAGACCAGTCATGACACGAGTGGTGCCGTTTTTCAGTGAGAGCATATCGTCGGTGAGCTCAGCATAGAGTGCGGGCGTAATGTCTGACCCTCCGTTGCCCCAGAAGATATAGTACTTGCCAGTAGTTGGATCTTGGAAGACATCAGGATCAATCGCTTGGCCCGTGGTGATGTTTCCGTTGGAAGAGTCTCCAATGTTCAAGATCATGGCTTTCGGTTGGGCAGTGAAAGGCCCTTCTGGTGAGTCTGCAACAGCAACACCGATGGTCTTACGGTCGTACTCGGGGTTGTTACCGCTGAAGTAAAAGTAGTAATTGCTGTCCCTTTCGATGATAGTCGGAGCCCAGGCATTCCCCGTCGCCCAGGGTACGTTGCCGTTTGTCCCATTGAGGGTCAAGAAGGGCTCGGCTGATCGCGTCCAAGAGACGAGATCAGGGGACTTCCATACATAGAAAACGTTGCCACCCCAGCCGGGGAAGCCATCAGTTGTCGCATAGATGTAGTAGTTTTCACCAAAAACGGCGATGTTTGGATCCGCATATAGACCAGGAAGTACGGGGCTGCCTGTCTTTGCAGTCAGACCAGCAAGCTCTCGTGCAGCCAGACCAGCAGACTCTTGCGCAGTCAGACCGGAAAGCTCTCGTGCAGTCACAGGGACTACAGTGCCGTGACGTGGGCTGGTCGGGAGCTTGTACGAGCTGGAAACCTTCCAGTTGGGCTTAGAAATATCATCCGTCTCTAGTGGGATATATCCACGTCCAGTGTACTCGTCGACAAAAAGATAGTACTTCTCGCCATGGACGTCACCTGGGTTGGCTTTGAATACTGTCGGCCCTTCGACATTGCTTGTACCAGCGTTACGACCGATGCATGAGGCAACCTGAGACCATGATTCAACAGGAGCAAGAAGGGAGTCCGAGCGCTCTTGAATGATGTCGGTGCAGTTGGTGCCTGTACCACCTTCGTCTTTGGTAAATCGATAAAACGTGGCGCCCTCCTGGATGACTGTAGTGTCAATTCGTGACATCTTAGCATCCTGCCAAATCTCGGGTTCGCTAAATGTGACGAAGTCTCGCGTGGTCACATAAAGCATGCGGTGGTAGGTTGCTCCCGTGCGATTCGTATCGCTCTCTTCGTATAGAGATGATGCCCAAAACACTACGTACGATCCGATGTCGGTATCGTAGTATGCCTCAGGTGCCCATGTGTTTCCAGCAGTGGAGGGAGAAACCTTGACGTGTCGTTGCTGTGACCATGTCTTGAGGTCGCTTGATTCCCAAATCTCCAGATACAAGCTCCCAATACGAACAGCATCTCCCCAGGAAGTGCCGGATCCAATCGATAAGTCAGTGGCGAGCAGATAGAATCTGTCACCTTCCGGCGAGCGGATTACGAAGGGATCACGCAGTCCCTTCGTGCCTTCGGAAGAGGCGAGAATGGGCTGTCCGTTGTTGAGCTCTCTCCAGTCCAATGCATTGTTGCCCTCGCTGGCTGCTAGGTAGATTTTCTCGCCCGCTAACGTGTTGTTCGTGAAGTACGCAAACGCATAGCCCTCGAACGGTTCAAGTTCGACAGCTTGTCGTACGTTGGCACTGAACGTGCGATTCGAAGTTGTTCCTTCTTGGTCGATGATCGCTGTAAGATTGACAACGGTGTCGGCGCCTTGTCTTTGCACAATGCCGTCCGCAGATATCACCGAGGGGTTGTTACTGATCCAGGTAACATTGTAGTTCTCGGATGCGCTCGGTAGGTGAAGATTACCGCGAACATCGTCGACGTTTGTAATCGTGAGGCTTTCCAGTGCTGCTTGAACCTGGGCTCCTGACGATTCCGTTTGAGCAGAAACTGTCGACCATAGACTCCATACACAAAGAGGAAGGCGGTACGACCGCATGATGAAAGAGATGTGAGAACGAGGGAGATACGGGTGTCTATTCAGAAGCACAGGATTACACACCTTGATGATATAGTACTATCACAAGCCGGGAGCTATACTCACCTGGCGCTTTCGAGCCATAGTTACTTACCGGGAGCGATACTCAATTGACTTCCTTCCTTTGCCTAAGCGTAAAATCTCCACGAATACGCGGTGTCCACCAGGACCTAATTCATCGGCTCCTAGGGACCCTGGTCTCGCAACAAGTCTTGAACCTTGACCTTCCCCGGAGTACCCTCCACATTCGCTTGAGTCGTGGACCATATATAGTGCGGCACTCCACAAAGGCAGGCGAAAAGCAGAAACCGATGACGCCACTCCCGAGGTTTAAGCTGGATGACTTGCGGGGTCTGACGCTAAACCACGCACGAACCACGAACGCCATTCAACTTTCGTAGCATCTCGGGATAATTCCTCTCCGACTACAAGCATCTGCAAGAAACTCCAGAGTTGTGTTATACAGATAGCTTGTCTCAACTGCGTAGTCTCGGTAGTCTCTCGATTGCTCCCCCCTCGTTGCATACGGCGGAGCACATAACATTGCCTAAGTGATAGGTTTCGTTTGCGACATTCTCTAGGCTTATTGCCCGAGCACGCGCTTCCTCGGCGTCTTTCGCACGGATACGGCTGCAAGCGCGGAGATATACGACCTTTTGCGTCGGTCGTACCATGGTCATCTGGTCGTGTAAAAGATTAAAAAAATCGGTTGACTTGCAAAGAGCAGACAGCTTCATTGTTCAGAAGGAAGCACCACAGTCATCGATCACAAGGCGCTACATATGCATCAACAGGACGATGCATAACAACAGATTCGAAGAGAACAAGATTGTTCCGTTCGACTCGAAATGAGATACCCTTCGCCCACAACCACCAACACGTGGGGTACGAAAGGTACACTTTTGATGTTCGCCGAGCGCCGTCCCGTTCTCCAAGTCTCCAAGAATCTTGGCAAGAGAGCGTTCCATAGTCGAGAAGACATACCAAGGCTGGGCTTGCAGACGAGAGTGTATGCGTAGGCCGAATGTGATTGCGGCGATTGCTATAAGTGGTCGAGTCAAAATTTGTCCTGTGACATCGAATGAGCGGAAATCGAACAATGCCATTCAATGCGACACTCGCAAAGTATACACTGAGGACATCGCGATTGCTACGAGGCCTGTTGAGATATGATACGAGCTTGGGGAAGAGAAGTCAGCGTCTCTGAGCGGGTTTCTTACACGAGACGTTATCACAACAATTGCTGTTTTTCGCTGGGTACCTATCCGGATTGAAATTATGGAGCAGTCCCAAGATTTGGCGAACCGGCATGTGCAGGATGTTTAGGCCTAATGTGAGTACCCATAAGATCGTAGGATGGTAGTATCCTGGGTTCTCAGGGTATATAAACTGCATCGGTGTCGATTGTGCACTATAGGTC